GAAATGTATTCTCCCCCTACAACCCATACATTATTTCTGCTTAGTTATAGTGGCTCACATTTCCCGTAACTATCCGGGAGAACTTAATTCAACTCACACCACATCACTTTACAATTGTGCAGCTCTCTTAATCAACCTTTGTATCAGCCACAAATGTGCGGTATGACCTAATTTGAAAATGTCTCAAAGTGCTGACTCAAACTGTTAGTGAATAAAGGCTAGTCATTACCATTATGACACTAATGTGATGCAAAATAAAATTGAGTTGCATCAGCTGAACATTAGTTTGCAAAAATATTAGTGATCGAATCCATTTTCTGTTCATATTTTATTTATACTTATATATGTGTACATATACATATGCATATATTTATTTATTTTTTGTTTGTGTGAAGCAGCCTTGCGAACAAATTTTTAAGTGCAGAGGAAGGAAGCCACATTTTAACACTTAAAAAAGAAGTTCTATTAGACTGAAGGCAGATCAGATGTCTATCATGACCTCTCCTCTATAAAATGAAGACACATTGTTGTTGAGTTCTCACCAGAATATTTATACACATATAAACAGTAACATATGAAAATTATCTTCTTGCCCTGTATTTTGGTGCCAGATTCCAAGATTTTTAAAAGCCCATGTCCTATTCACTAATTTGTGTCACTCAAAAATCCTCTGACCTTGTATTTTGGAACAACATGGAACTGGGATTTCTTTCTTTTATGGATCTCTTTCCTACTCCCTTTACAAAAACATTTTTGAGATAAAAATACTCTTAATAAACATTGGTCATTAATTACTTGTGAACAAAACAAATGGGAGGTATAGGACTTGAAATCGTTTAGCTTCACAACTACTGCTAATACTTGGTGGAATAGAATGTACATTATATTTTTCTTACAGAATTCAGGTGGTTTTGAGGAGAAATTCACATGCTTCTTTAATACACACCCTAGAGCTAGTATTGGTTTTAATCTCTAAGCTGATAATTAGGCATCGAAAATACATCAGCAGGACTTGCTTGAATTTGAAAAATTATCCCAATGCAAATGGAAATGATTTCATTCGGGTTGCCAGTACTCCGAAATTTCTGAACATAAAAGTGAGGCATTAGTGATCAAATGTCTCTGATTTTTATGTTCTTAATGATTCTAACAGACCAAGCACACAAATATGAAAGAGATGTGTAGTTCTTTAACATTTTCAAGGATAAGAAGTTTTGGCCATCAAGGGATTGCTTAACCTGATTCAGGATGAGAGAGTATATGTCTTCACAACGTATCAGTACAAGTGATCGGCAGAGAATACAGCTAAATTAACACGCTGGCAAGCTTAGGTCGTCCACGTGGTAGAACAGCAGGGAGAGCCTTACAGCAAGATATGCAGGCATTTGCTACTATACGATAACTTGATAACTTCAGTATTTGACATTATGCCATATATAGCATGGACTTGCTTTTATTTTATTTTATGTTTTTAATGGCCTGTGTTTTAGTTCCACATCAAGACAATCCAGACTTCCAAAAAACAACAAAATAATAAGTTTGACTAATTTCAAAGCAGACTTAGAAGAGCCGGCATTCCGCAACACGGGTGCCCATGTATGCACATGCACGGGCATACTTTCTATTTACCCCAACCCAAAGCTTGCTCTTCATAGCTCAAATGCACTCATTCTTATTTTCAGGTTTTAGGGAAGAAAGGTATGTGAGTGTGATTGTTGCAAAACGAATTGCCAGCCTCTTAGCAGTTCATCATTCTTAAATGATAGAAGCAAAGCAGCACCCTTCTGAGAAAAATCCTTCCTGTAGGTTTTACTTTGTCCATGCCAGGACAAATTGTGTGCTAAGTTGGAATAATTCTGAGCTGTAAGACACCTCTGCCGACAGTCCTTGGAATATGGAGAAGCCGACATCCCTCTTTGGAAGAGGGGAGAATGTCCCCTGCCCTCTTAATGGATGATTTACTGTGCTTTCCCCTGGGGCCACAAGCAATGGTCTGTAAGCTTGTTGAATTTTGAGGCAAATACTAAATATAATCAATATATAAAAATAAAAAAAAAGAGAGAAAAAAAATGCAATGAAAATTTATGACCTTAACATTCCTTCAGGGTCAAGCAATTTATCAAATTCTCTCACTTTCTGGTTTCAATTACACAGCCATTGTGGAAGGAACTTATTTTAGCAGGTTCATTTGCCTCAGTGGGGAATACAGGACTTTGGCCTAATGCTTCACCTTTAGTGCAGGCCATTTGAGCCTTAGAACAAATACCAATCATCACTCTTTGGGAAAAAAGAATCTGCATCGGCGTGGCCTATTGGAATGGGGTTTCTGTCAAGGTAAACGGTTGTCGGCAATGACTGTGGTAGAGTGGCGATAAATCCCATTTTATTGCTGAAAAATTCCAGCTTCTCTCCATGCCTGACAGCTCCCCACATTCTCATACCCATTTGGGCAATTTCTGCACTATGTCCATCTGGTTCTCATTACCTCTCAACCTGCCTGCGTCTGATCCAGAAAAAGTGCAGGTCAGAAACGGAGGGGGAGAAGAAACCAAGGTGATGGGCGAAACAGAAGGTGGGGGGCAGCCCGGGGAGTGGGGGGAGAGGTGAGGGGACAGCATGAAGAGCAGGGATTCCAGCTAAAGCTCGAGTGGCCCCTAAAAGGGGTCATGTAGATACAATAAAGAATGATAATGACAGAGCCAGGCCAGGAAGCCAGAGGAACCTGTATCTTTAGACACAGGCTTTTAAAAGACACCTGTTTTGAGGTGGAGTGAAGCGAGAATGTGCTAGGTATGGTAGATGGGGATGTTTAAGGGAAGGGTCTCTGTTAAGGCACTGCCAGCCAGATGATCACAGAAAAGTGGACCGATTTACTCTAGAAGAGCTTGGAGCCCCAGGTACACAGCTGGTAGCTTCTATGAATAAATATAGGGATTCAAACTCTGCTGTAGAGTTCATTTTGGTTAAAAAAAAATAATACCTTTTTCAGAAGAAAAAGCCTCCAACATTGTCTCTAGCCATTTTTCTAAGACGATGACTACTTGCAACCTAACTTGACTTGATCAGTGTTTTGGGACAGAGGGGCTCATTCATGAATGACAAGGGTATATATAGGGTATTCATAACCCCATATATGATCATTTTGGAATCATAATGCATTGGTGACTTCAGGAGTTGGCCTCATTCTCTGAAGATGAAATCTTGATCATAGCCACTTCTGACTGAAAATTACCTGTAGTCACTCCATGATGGCTCTCAGGGACAAAAAAAAGAAAGGAGTACAAACAATATCTGATCACAGATATAAACAATAAACTCACTTAAGTGTTAACCTAATTAGCTTATGGCTAATGCATACATATAAAATTTACTCATTGTTTTATTATTATTCTTTTGTGAGGGAGGTGGGACCATCATAGGTAATACTAAAAGGAGATTGTGGAAAGTATATTGAAGCATACATGATGAAGATCTGAGGACGTTTAGTAAAAATTAGAGTCAGATGAATGATTACAGGGATGGTAGTTATTTTGTCACCTATTCTAAAGTCAAATTTTGCACACAAATGTCCTAAACCAGATACAATAGTGTATTCTTTTTAAAAAAATAATTATTTTATTTTAACGTTTGTTATTTGTTTATTTATTTTAATTTGACCAGAGAGAGACAGAGAGAGAGACAGAGAGAGAGAGAGAGAGAGAGAGAGAGAGAGAGAGAGAGAGA